GTGATTGCATTTAGCGCTTAGGACTACGTATTTTTTAAGTGTGAACAACTTTTTCCCTCATGTCACGTTTTATACTTAGTCAACTTTCAGCATATGCCCCTCTTGTTAGCTTAACCTGGATTGCTGATCCAGGACCCAGGATCACCAAGACCACCCGGGAACTTTTTGCCCAGGGTCGCTAAGATAACCTGGACCATAGATCCTGCATCGTCAAGTACGATTTCTTCACTTTTACATTTGTCAGTATTTTGTCCACTTTTCGACATGCCTAGATTTTGCGCTTCATTAGCTTTTACGCTTTTTTAAATACGATGCTTCGGTGTTCAGGAATTAACTTATATTTCATTATTGCGTTTCTTCTCACTTTTAACTTGGCTGTTCAACTATGAACACCACACATGTCTGAGCTGGAATCATTGAGTACCAGGATACATTTCAGGATCCAGTAAATCCATACAACTTTATGCAGATAATGCTGTACAAGGACATTCTACTGTAGACATTATGTTTAACGTTGACTGTTTATCTCAGCGACAGCCACTCCAGATGATCCAGATGAAAATCTTGCAAAAATTTTATAAACTTTTTCCCAGGTGTTTTCATATTTGCCAATTTTTACGGTTGATGGCATATGTATGGTGTGTATCAGTTACTATATGATCGGCCTCTATCCAGCGCCTGCAACATTTCTAACCACTGTGGCTACTTGTATTCTAATCGAGTGGTCTGCCGCCAGTATTGGAATTATGTTGAGCTCAGTGGGTGCATTAATTTGAATTTTCTGAATTTTAAAAATTTTCAATCACGTTTATGTGTTCGGGAATAACTGCTCAACATGTCAGAGACATCTTGAAACGGCTAAGATTTATCAGAGTGCTTCTGTCTGAAGAACGAGTAAGTTGGCAATCCCCTCAGGAGAAATAAGCATGAAAATCCCCTGCAATCTGAATGGCAAGCGATGCAGCATTGGTCAAAGCAACTGGAAAAATTGCCAGTTACACACAGCTGGAGAACTATGCGATGTACTGCATCTATATACCACACCAAAGTCAAAAGTCAAAACTCTTTTCGTATTCACTGTCTGTGAGAGACGGAGGCACTCCGAGTGGTAACAAATACCAGAAGCAAACACTCGCTGATTATTGGCTCCCTTTTACAAGCAAGTTCATGGCGGGTTTAACTCCTTGGCATATGCCAATACCATTTAACCATCGATTTGCGAATTTGAGCCATCGACCTAGTGCACGACAGCAGCAACACTTCCCATTATGCTGTGTGTCCACCAAATACCCAAGAGACTTGCTACAGGGTTATTCTTTTGCAGTGGTTATAGATCTCAACTCATTTAAAGTACTCTTCATCGAATAAAAGCAGCGTGCATTTGCAGGTCTCTCCATCCTACGCGATCGCGGTTTCTGTATCAGGGCCTCTGCTAACAGTCTTCTCGATAACCGGTGGTCTTTATACTAATATCAGAATGATTCCCGAAAGTGTTCGATGGGTGCAGTATTTTAGCTGGTATATCGTTCTGCTGTTTTATCTGAAAATTACGGTACAACTTCGTCGAGCTCTGCTTGCCCGGTAGCTTCGGAAACTTCAAAATAAGAATGCTTGTGATTTCGGTATTTCCGGAGATTTTGGCGAAATTTCTGGCAAATACTGCCAATTTTGGTTACACTTTTGATATATCTGGAAGAATTTTACCAAATGTAACATTTGGGTGACTTCGATAATATGGAAATTCTCCCCTTGAAAAAAATTCGCATTTTTTAAAATGTAAGGAGGGTAGAGAAATGGAGACGGCCTTGAAAAAAAGTCCACAAAAGGTCTTATGTTTTAAATTGCGCGTTGGCAACTAGAAATCTGAATGAAAGAAGTGCCACTATTTATTTTTTTGTTTTCTTTTCTTTTTTCGGTTATTTTGTTTGATAAAAATGGTAAGTTAGATACAAAGCACAAAATTCAACATAAATGATATCATAATCAAAACAATTGGAGCGAACGTTAGGATCGCCAGCCAGCTAACTATCACAACATGCGGCATTGGCCAGAGCAACTGACAAAGTTGTCAGCCTTGGAGTTGGAGAGCCAAGATTGAGTAATGTGCCAGTGTACCAAAAAAATGTTAGTTTGGCAAGGAGCCGTATTTTTAGCCGGAAGCAATTTTATTATGCCAAAAGTCTAATCGCACCTTTGTAGTCAGCAAAATGTCCATTTGTATCTCCTAAAGTGTAGCACAAGAAATTCGGGGGATGGGTAGCTACGGTCGGCATTCGAATACAACCGGTAACAACGCAATCCTCGCACCGATTGTCTAGGTAAACTTTGG